CCCCAATGTTATTTCCCAGTTACTATATACCTCTCTCCCATTTCAGTTTCCCCAACACATAAGATTCCACTCCTCTAAATTCCACGTTGCACATATGTATTATGTTTTCATATCTTCTTCAAAACAAATATTAATTTTATCTTCGCTGTTCAGAAACAACAAATATTGATCACATGATCTCTGATGAGCATTTCATTTTTACTCCAAAATACATGATCACATATTATGTTCCACATCCTACACTTTGGTTCATAGCACCCTTTTGTAAAATAATTTCTAAGATTAATTTCATTGCACTTTAATTCCTATAAATGATTTGTTGCCATGTTAGTATTTACTGAATAAATTCAGTTCTGTCAGAGAAAATTATTTAGAGTGTCCGCATTATGTTAAAAACTCTAAACCTTGATTTATAAGTAGCACTGTTCTATAGAATAAGTACTTAAAAAATTGAAAAATTATCACAACTAAATTTATAAAATGTATTAATATATGGGAGGTATTTGGAGTATTGGAAGAAAATAATGAGGGTGAAATGATCAATATCAATGTCATTGTAAACAGGTCATTGTTGTTGTTAAGTGCCGTCCAGTTGGTCCCAACTCAGAATGACCCTGTATAGGGTCAGGTGGGTTTGAATCGCTGACCTTGCAATTAGCAGTCCAGTGTGTATCCTACAGCGCCGCACAAGGACCTGAAAGCAGGTTACTCAGGTTCAAATCATGACTCTAACACTTTCAGAAGAATTCCTGTGGATAAATTCTCTGTCTGACAAAGGAGAGTAACATTTGAGCCTAATGTATCAGGTATATGAGTGCTACAAAAAGACACGGATCATCAGTTTTACGTTCAACAAATTGTACAACTTGTTTCATCACAATGATTACAATCCCCTCCATGTACCATCAATTAACAGTGGTGGTGGTTACGTATTGTGAAGTTGGTGCCAACTCACAGCGACCCTGCATAGAGTTTCCGAGGCTGTAAATCTTTAAAGGAGCAGAAAGCCTCGTCTTTCTCCTGTGGAACTACTGGTAGTTTCAAACTGCTGACCCTGAGGTTCGCAGCCCGATTCGTAACCACTACACTACCAGAGCTCCTTTCAGTTAACAGTATTTCTCTATATTCATTTAAGCTCTTTTTTTAAAAAAGAAAACACTCAGGTGTATATAATAATTTACACCCCCAAAGGACGCATTCTGCAAGTCTGCCTCCTGGGTACTACTTCTTAGTCCCACTCTTCCCATGAATCTAGAGTCTTCAGCCATTCCCTCTCTCCATGTCCCCATCTCTGCCCCCATCTCTGGTGTTGCTGCTTCTCTGGATAAGGTCCTGCATTCCGCTTGTGCTCTTCTTCCTTGATGGTCCTAGGGTCCTTTGTTTCTGGCCTGTAAGATTAACTACTCCCCCATTTTTGTTTCAAAACTTCTACCTTTACAGTTGTGACAGTTGCAGTGAGTCATGATAACAATTACTCTCTATGGAATCATAAGAATCTTATCCCCATCTCTTTTAACCAGACCCATCTAGACAAGATGAAAACTACTCAGTGGGGACTCTACCTTCCCCCACACCCTTTTAAGCTAAACTCCTTCTTGAAACCTTGTAAGCCAGTCACTTCATACCTTTATCGCTCCCTCATTTTACATAGCCAATGTCTAAGTTGCCCATCTCTATCTATCCGGTGTACAGAGAGGATAGCATTGATACTTGATGGAAAGATGCCTTTCCTCTCTGATGGTATTTATAGTTACTACCTCCATGAGTATAAGGAGCTCTGGTAGCGTAGTAGTTACGAATCAGGCTGCAAATCTTATGGTCAGTAGTTTGAAACTACCAGCTGTTCCATGGGAGAAAGATGAGGCTTTCTGCTCCCGTATAGATTTATAGCCTCAGAAACCCTGTACAGGGTTGCTATGAGTCGGAACCGACTCCACGGCACATAACCACCACCACCACCACCTCCTCCATGAGTATAGGTCAAGTCCATCAAATTGTAGCAATTTACCCTTGTTTCTTTTATTAAAAATTGTTTGTTTGTTTGTTACCTTCCTCTAGTTGAGTTCTGATTATCAAGCCATTGAGGATCGGTCAAATGGGTACTATCTGCAAGTTTGGGTGTTCCTGTGCATCTATCCTCACTTCATATCAGCTGGATACTCACTCTCAGCTCTAGCCCTCTGTGGCTATGTCCCTGTCCATGGGCTCAGGTGTCCCCAGGTCTCACCACACTTTGGACCAACCAGCCCTTCCTCTTTTCTCTCTCATCTCCAGGTCAATGGGAGTCAACGGAGTGGGTTTGAGCTCAGCCCATTTCTTCATTGCTACCTTTCCCCCTCTTCCACTCATCAGTAGACCAATGTGGTCGCCAGCAAGCTTACATGTCTGCTCATGTGTTCTCTTAAAGTTTCAGTCTTAGAGAGGGGTTTGTCCTGAAGGAACTTAATTACTTGCCTTATGGCTTCCTGGTGAACAACTTGCTTATTCTTGTAGTAGCCAGTCATACTGATATTTTTGTTTCGGGTTTTTTTCCTGATGATCTTTCTTTGAAGATGTATCTTCTGTTGCTCTAGCTGTTCCAGACTGGTCTGCTTGTCCTTGCTAGTGGGAATGTCCCACCTCAAAAGGTTCTGGATGGAACTCAGGATTCCACCTAAGGTCCTATACTCTGTATAAGCTCCGCAAGAGGCCTATTTCAATGGGCAAGTTCTACAACCACTTTTAGTATTCCAATCAGTTATAGGCTGGAGACAGGCTTACAAGTTTCCTGTAATCATGTTTCCCAACATCCCTTTCTATCCCACTCAAGTGTCTATTTTACAATAGCAGGCAAGGGAAAACAATATTCATAAGGCAGTCAAGCATCTTAGTATTATTTCCCCTCTTCAAACTATGCCTGGATCCCTGTATCACAGAGCCCTGTTGTTCCAAGGTTGAGCATGCATCACTATTTACCTCTGCCCCACTTAGGCCATGCAAACCTGTCTCAGTGTTCCCCTATCTACCTTGTTCTTCCACCTCCTCCCCCTTCTTTTATTGTCCTCCCCAACTGTGATGTGTCTGCCCTTACCCTGTGCTCTACTGTCACCTCCCTCCACTCCCCCTGAACCCCCCATCCCAACCCCACTATTGTGGTTATCTTATATTCCATTAACTTTTCCCTCCATTTAAGATAGTCGATTTTATCCTGTAATCTACCTGACCTTCTAGCCACCTGGATCTCTGTTCCTCTGTGTTTACCTTCTTTCACATTGTAATTGTTTTGATCATAGACTGATTTTTATAGTTTTATTCTGTTCTTGACTCTTCTATTTGTCACTTGAGTTCCAGGTGATGCTGTCATGTAGGTCAATCTGGTTGTTGTCTGTTCTTCTTGGTTCTCAGTCCACAGAATTCCCTTTAGGATGTTTTTCATTGCAGGGTTGGCTTTGGCAAAATCCCTTAGCTTCTATTTATCCTGGAATATTTTGATTACACCATCGTATTTGATTGACAGCTTTGCTGGGTAGAGAATTTTTGGGTGGCAGTTTTTTCTTTCAGCGTTTTATATATCTCTCCCCATTACCTTCTTGCCTGCATGGTTTCTGTTGAAAGATCTGAGCTTAATCTGATTTGCTTGCCTTTGTATTTTACATTTCTTGTTTCCCTAACTGCTTTCAGGATTCTGTCCTTATCTTTGATTTTGGAGAGCTTGACTATTATATGTCTTGGTGATTTTCTTTCAGGGTCTATCCTTCCTGGGGTTCGTTGAGATTCTTGAATGTTTATCTTTTCACTTTTCATGATGTTAGGGAAATTTTCTTCCAGAAGCTCTTCAACTATCTCCTCTGTGGACTTGTGTGATTCTTCCTGTTCTGGAATGCTGATAATTCTTAACTTATTCCTCTTCATGTTGTCCAACATGAATCTTAGACCTTCTTCAGATTTTTTTATCCTTTTTTATGCTTATTCTTCTATCTTAGTAGTATTGAGAGATTTATCTTCCAGCTCACTATTTCTGGCTTTCATCTCTTCAATTCTACTCCTTTGCCCTTTCAGTGTATTTTCCATTTCTGATATTCTATTATTAATCATTTGGGCCTCTTTCTGTTGGTTTTGAATTGTTTCCAACGTTATATCTGATTGCCTCCAGGTAGATATGATCAAGAGATGGGCTTCCCTTTTCACTCTTCTTCCTGAGAAATTTCAAGAAGCCACTGTTTATCATTATGACATAACTCAGGATTTAATTTTTGGCCTATTTCCTTTCTAGTTGGCCTGTCCTGTTCCACAACTCCCGTTTAGGCCTTTTTCCTAGTGATAAACAGTTCAGGACTGGCTGTGGCCATTTTGCATTTGCCTTTTGGTTTTAAGTGGAAACTGTCCCTTTTAATTTTGAGGAGATCTGTGCATATGAGTAGTAGAACCCTCTGGGGTCTGGGGTGGGAGTGGGGTTCCCACTCACTCAGGCACCCCCTCTAGTCACCAGAATGGAGGTGCACAGATAGCAAGAGACCAGTGAACAGATGCAGAAAGAATGTCCACAGCTTTATCTCCATGGTTCTCTCGGCATCCATGGTTGCTCTGATCCTTCCCCTGCTTGGTCTCACCCAAGATGGCCACTCAGGGAGCAGCTGAGTGCCTTGGATTAGAAAGCACTGGATTTCTTGCTTCTGCTACAAATTACCCTAGCTGTAAGCCTTTCAACTTTCTGAATATTCCTTTCTATGTGGTTCAGAGTTCTGGGACCATCCCCTGAGCCTGCTTGGTCCAGTATTCTGTGTTGTTGCTGACGGAGCTCCTCACTGCACTTCCACCTGATCCACCATCTTGTTTGTTCCTCCAATACTGGGATTCTTTGACAAAGAAAATATATTTAGAAAAATCATTTTGAGAATGGAGTTATGGTAAGTAGAAAGCTTTGGATTTTAATTTCCATAAATAATATCATCTACAGCTCTGGTTTCCAAGCAGGCTCTTGTGCTTGTGTATTTAAATCAAAAGCCCTGGATACTGACAGAATGTCCTTCTTCAATTTAAAAATAGCAGCAATCCACATATTCCAGATAGTCCTTGGAACCCTGGGCAATTTTTCCCTCCTAATTCATTACATCTGCCTATACTTCCATGGAGACAGGTCACGGTCCACAGACTTGATTCTCAGACACCTGACTGTAGCTAATTCCTTGATCATTCTCTCTAATAGAATACCCAAGACCATGGCAACTTTTGGGCTGAAAGATTTCCTCAATGATTTTGAATGCAAACTTGTTCTCTATGTTCACAGAGTGGCCAGAGGTGTGTCCATTGGCAGCACCTGCCTATTGAGTGTCTTCCAGGCCATCACCATCAGTGCCTGGGACTCTAGGTGGGCAGGCCTTAAGCTAACAGCTCTAAAGTACATTGGTCCTTCCAATAATCTCTCCTGGGCACTGAACATGCTGATCAACGCAGTTCTTCCTATTTATATGTCTGGAAAAATGAGCAACAAAACCATCACAAAGAAAACTAATCTGGGATATTGTTCTTTTCCATTTCCTGACAACAGAAGATTTACACTCTTTGCAGTGCTGATATCCTCTCACGATATTTTGTGTTTGGGACTCATGTCCTGGGCCAGTGGCTCCATGGTTTTCATCCTGTACAGACACAAGAAGCGAGTCGGACACATTTATAGGAACAGTCTCCCCCACAGATCCTCCCCTGAGACCAGAGCTTCCCAAACCATCCTTGTTCTGGTGAGCACCTTTGTATCCTTTTATGCCCTCTCTTTTATTAGTTTTGTGTATTTGGCTGTTGTTGAGAATTCTGGTTGGTGGCTGAAGAACACATCTGCATTCATCACTGCATGTTTCCCCACAGTCAGCCCTTTTATTCTCATGAACAGTGACTCCCGAATATTAAAACTTCACTGTGGCTTCTCTGGAAGGAATGCATAATTTCCATCTTTCATCAGAAAAATGCAATTCATTTATTTTGCATGATATTCAGCTGTTGATGAACTTTTTCCTCACAGAACCTTAAAAACAATTGTAGGCCAGTATCACTGTACAGAGAATAATGAACTAGACAAATTGAGATTCTGCCCCCATGGTAAATAGTAACTAATCCTAGCAACAGTAAATGAAATTTGATGTCATTGTCATATAAGTACTTATCGAGTTGTGTTTTATTAAATGGTTGCAATGGAGAATTTAAGAGTAAATGAAATCATAAAAATAGTTAGTCCTGTAATAATATAGTAGTGTTGTTGCCAAGTCAGTTCCAACTTGGGGCAACTTTATCTTCTAACATAATGAAACTTTGCCAGTTACTGCCCCATTATTACAATTGTTGGTAGATTTAAACCCATTACTGTAGCCGCTGTGTCAATTTCTTTTATGGAGAGTCTCCCTGTTTTTGGATGACCCTCTATTTTACCAGCATGATGTCCTTCTCAAGGGTAAACACTGGACTGCAATGTTGGGTTTGAATCACAAGACTGGTGGTTCAAACCCAGCAGCCACTCTTTGGAAACCCTACACAGAGTCACAATAAGTTGGAACTGACTCAATGGCACTTAACAACAACAATAACAACCTTACACCAGTGCAAGTGAGAGTAAGATTCTCTAACCTCAATTCTAAGGAGCATTGTAGCGATACTCCTCCCAAGACTGATGAAATCCAGTGGAATTACTAGAACTGTCTTGAAGTGAGCATTTTTCATCTGAGACACACTAGCTAGACCAGATTCACAGAACACGACCATCATCTTGGATAGACCTTTGGGAATATAGTATCTTGGGAGGAATATGTCCCTTTGTTATAAGATTGTATTGGAAGTGGCCTGGAGTATGTTGAAGAAAGAATTTGTTGTTTCTGTTGTTAAGTGCCTTCAAGTCAGTTCCAACCTATAGTGACCCTGTATAGGGTTTCCAGAGAGAACCTGGTTGGGTTTGAACTACGGACCTTCTGGTTCTCAGTCCAGTGCTGATCCTACAGTGCCACACCAGGAGTCTATGTTGGAGAAAGAATAGGTTAATGTAATTGAGGAGTCTGGTATTGCACTAAAAGAAAACCACTAGACAGCTAACCACAAAGTCAGTGGTTCAAACCACTAGTCACTCCTTGGAAATCCTGTGTAGGGTTGCTCTGAGTCAGAACTGACTTGAAAGCACTTAACAACAAAAACTCACAATGTTGTTAATGAAATTGGAGGCCAGGTTCTCCAATATTTTTCCTTACATCCTAAGAGAAATAGTGGAAATTTGAAATATGAGAATGCTATGCAGAAAGGTTAGCATATTAAAAATATTTTCATGTAAAATTTGGAAAAATAAAATGTAAGAAAACAAAGAGAGACATACGATATACAACACATGGATGGATACACAGGCTGAATAGCTATAGGAAGAACCATGGGAGTATGCCCACAAATGTATATGTGTTTGACAGAGAATATTTGTACATGGGTATTAATTTACTTTTGCTGCAAACACACCCCTGAATGTGGTGGAGCATACAAGGGGCAAAATGAGGAAAATTTCTTAGATATTACTAAACATCTTAAGGCAATGAATTGCTGGGCCTGGGGGCTCATTATCACAGTCTCAGGAGATACCATGGTCAATTGACATAGTCTACAAAGACAATGTTCAACATCTTACTTTGGTGAATAATAACTGGGATTTTAAAAGGTCATAAGCAGCCATCTAAGATACACCTATTGGTCTCTCCATGTGCGGAAGAAAGAAGAGTGATGAAAACTGAAGATTCTTGGAATTAACTAGTCCAATGGACCAATGGAACATGTATGTGAACGTCAAGTCACCATGGCTTGGAGACCATAAGCAGCTACCACTACCAACTGCTCTGAAAAGGATCACATTAGAAGACCCAGATTGAAAGGGAGAAAATGTGGAACAAAACTCAAAACTATTTTTTAGATAAAAAGACCGGGCCCCTCCAAGGGAAAGTCAAAGGGAACCAATGGCAACCACACTGTTCTACTGGTGAGTGGAAGAGGGGGAAAGGTAGAAATGAAGATCGGAGCTGAGTTCAACAACATTCCATAGACTCCCGTTGACCTGGAGATGAGAGAGACAAGAGGAAGGGCTGGTTGGTCCAAAGTGTGGTGAGACCTGGGGACACCTGAGCCTTTGGACAACAACATAGCCATGGAGGGCTAGAGCTGAGAGTGAAGCATCCAGCTGATATGAAGTGAGGGGAGATGCACAAGAACACCCAAACTTTCAGATAGTACCCATTTGACATAACCTCAATGGCTGATAATCAGAACTCGACTAGAGGAAGATAAGAAGAAAAAAAAAATTTTTGATAAAGGAAATGAATGTAAACTGCTACAGTTTGATGAACTTGATCTATACTTATGGATGTAGTAGTTCAAAATACCAACTGAGAGAGAAGGAGTCTTCACAAGTATCAATCCTATCCCCTCTGTATACACGGTAGATAGGGATGGGCAATTTAAACATTGGCTACCTAAAATGAGGGGGTGGTAAAGCCATGAAGTGACTGGCTTACAAGTTTTCAAGAGGGAGTTTAGCTTCAAGGTGTGTGAGGGAAGGTAGAGTCCCCACGGAATAGTTTTCATCTTGTCTAGACGGGTCTGGTGAAAAGAGATGGGGATAAAATTCTTATTATTCAATAGTGAGTAATTGTTATCATGACTAATTGCAACTGTCACAACTATAAAGGTAGAAGTTTTATAACAAAAATGGGGGAGTAGTTAATATTACAGTCCAGAAACAAGGACCCTAAGACCATCAAGGGAAAAGAGCACGAGCAGAATGCAGGACCCTATCCAGAGAAGCAGCGACATCATAGACAGAGGCAGAGATGAGGACATGGAGAGAAGGAGCAGCTGAGGACTCTGGACTCATGGAAAAAGCGAGACTGGGTGCTGATGACCAAGAGGCAGGCTTGCAAAATGGTGCCCTTTGGTTGTTTAAATTATTATATATTCCTGAGTGTTTTTGTGTACATCCCCCCAAAAAACACACACACACACAAACCAGAGGGAATGGAAGCAAATACTGTTGAATGATGATGCACAGAGGAGATTATAATTATGGCAATGAAACAATGGTGTAAAGCCCATGTTATCTCATGTAAACTATCACTCAGTTCACAATAAAAACTTAAAAAATAAAAATTTAAAAAAGACAGGAAAGAAAGACAAGACCAAAGTGGATGTCAGAAGAGACTCTGAAAGCTGCTCTTGAACACAGAGTAGCGAAAGTGAATGAAAGAAATGATGATGTGAAAGAGTTCAACAGAACGTTTCAAATGATGGCTGAAGAAGACAAAGGATTAACCAACAGTGACCATCAGGATAAACAAAGAAAAGATGATATTTGTCAAGGATTTCATTTTACTTGGATCCATAAAGCAGCAGTCAAGAAATCAAGTGATTTCTTGTATTGGGCAAATCTGTTGCTAAAGCTTTAAAGAGCAAAGATACCATTTTGAGGACTAAAATATGCTTGCTCCAAGCCACGGTATTCTCAATATGTTATTTCATTATGCATACTAAAGTTGGACAGAATAAAAACTGACAGGTTGAAACTACAGTGCTAGCAAAGACCACTCAATATATCATGGACTACCTGAAGGACCTGTTCTCTTGTAGAAGAAGTACAAGGATGGGGAAACTTCCTCTCTCCTACTTTGGACTCATTATAGGAGGAACCAGTCCCTGAAGAAGGACATCATACTTGGTAAACTGAATGATCAGCAAAAAAGGGGAAAAACTCAATGAGACCAACTGACAAAGTGGGTGGAACAATGGACTCAAACAAAAGAATTGTGTGGATAGGGTAGGACTGGGTAACTGTTCGTTCTGTTGTACACAGGGTCACTAAGAGTTAGAAGTTACCCAACAGCACTTAATAACAACAACAATCCTGGATAGATAAATATGTTTTATGCCATGGTGCAGGCATAAAACAGAAAAACAACATGGTATCAAATGAAATAAAAATGTACCTTAATTTGTCAGTATTTAAATATATATATATTTTTAAACACTGGGCTTCCTGGTCAGAAATTGACTGGAGGAACCCAAGACTATGGCACTTGGTCACCTTTCAGATCTGGAACAGAACTCACCCTCGTGGCCCACTTTTCAGCCAAACATTAGACAGGTTTATAGGGGAAAACAACAACACTAAAAAAGTATGGTCAATCATTCAAGATCAAGAGGCAACATTGACCTACAAACATAGTTGAGAGAAGGAGATGGAAGGAAGGTGGAATGGAAATAAGAGCCAGTGGGAGGAAGTGGGAAAACTGTTTTTGCATGGACGGAATTGCAGTCTTTGAGATGAAACAAAGTGTGTGATTTCTTGAATGTAAAAATGTTCATCTTCTCTGTAAACCTTCACTCAACAAAAATTAAAGGTTTCCAAAAGAAAAGATATATATGGAATTATTTAAAATATGGTGGAAGACTTTCTGCTCCTGTAAAGATTTACAGCCTCGGAAACCCTGTACAGGGTCACTATGAATCAGAACCGACTCCACAGCATATAACCACCACCACCACCACCAATAAGTCAGTCACAAATACTTTATAATGTCATTGAAATGAACTATCTAGAATATGCAAAAACCTAGAGACCAAAGGTGTTTTTGGTTATCAGGAGTGAGACAGTGGAGTCCTGGCATGTCACTGTGGGATAAAGTACTGAACTAGAAGGTCAGGGGTTCAACCTCACCAGCTGCGTCTCAGAAACCCTATACAGAGTTGCTATGAGTTCAGACCAACTCAGTGGTACTTAACAACAACAACAGGAGTGACACAGTAGGGGATCGAGGGAGTTTGGGGTTTTATTATCATAAAAATCATTCTTGTGATTGATGATGATACTGCTAACTCAATAAGTAGTGACAATATTGTTCAGGCAGAGGTGGCTCAATGGGAGAACGCTTCCCTA